TCTCTGTCCCCGCAGGCCCAGGAATGAGCACCTGTCCCACAGCTCAACCTGCTCTGTGGCATCCTGGGAAGGGAAGAGAGGCGAAAGGAAAGAATGAGCATTGTTTGCATGAGAATCTGCAAATGTATCATCTTCCTTACTCAGCACAAGGCCACCATGATGCCCCAGCTCCATTTCCCACAGCCAAGCACGGGCATTCTGCTGTTTGACCTCGCAGCAATTGAGGTGCTAGTGGATATGCATGTGCACAGCTGCCTGCGCAGCTGTGAATGTGTGCCCTCAAATGTACATTCATTTCCTTTTTTTTTTTTTTCTTGGTATCAGGAAACGAACTCAGGACTTTTCCCTTGCCAGGCAGGCACTTGCACCACTGATCTACATCTCTGCCAAATGTGTATTCATTTGTGCCAGGTGATCTTACACTTATTATTGTTCATATTTATAACTTTTTGGCATCTGTCTCTTTCCCAACAACGTTTCCAGCTCACTAATTTTTTATTGGTATATGTTTGCAATGGAAATAATTGCATTTGATGTGTGGGTTTGCACGTGTGTGTGTGTCTGCTTGTGGGTGTGTAATGATTCACCTTCATTCTTTTTATCTCCCCTGAGCATCATTTGCTTGCCCCTCTCCTCTCTATTGTCCACTCTCTCTCCTTTATCATCACACCACTTATGTTTTAACTGTTTTCTTTCTCTTTTAAGTCAGTGTATTTTTTAAAACTAACACTTTTGGATATATTTTTATGTTTATTACCCTGGAATGGTTTGTTTTGTATACTGAATGCCCCTGCTGTGTTTGTACTTCCCCAACACATCTCTGTGAGGACAGTTCTAGTATTTTAATGTTTTTGGTTCTACTTTGCCATCAGTTCTGCTCCCGCTATCACAACTTCTCCCGGCTCTCCTTGTGTTCCTCATGCTTTCCTTCCTCTGATCTGACACAGCTTATGCCTGCAAGTCATGTCTATCCCGTGCTACCATCAGCATCCTCAACCAGTAGAACTATTTTCCAGTGGTTCAACCCTAGATTCTCAGTTATTCAGGTGAGTTTCAGAGTGTGAAGCCTCTGTTTGCTCTGCAATGGTCCCTGAATCATTATGGAAGTCATTCTGAAGTCCACAGCTTCAGCCACAGAAATTGTCCCTGGGCAGCTGTTCACCATTGTAATGAGGGGCAAGTACATTGGTATCCCTACCAGGTAGCAGATGTCCCAGGAACACAAGGATGTCATAACATCTTAAAATCAGTAACACCATTTGATAGTTGAAAAGTCCACTTTCAGTTTGAATAAAATTAAACAAGAAAGGTTGCACATTTCATCTGAATATATTCATAAAGCAGACTCAGTAAAGCTCAGTAGCTGTTTATGACAGATGGAGCCTAAGGAGAGGTTCAGAAGGCCGTGTCGGCTACTTGTTCCCGGCATCACTTATGGTTATCTAGTCTGGATAATTTCATTTATCCACCCTTTGAATTTGCAGAGGTTTGTGTAGAATCCTGGAACTCCAGGTTGGCCACAGGGAGGTTGTCCCCAGAACACAAAGCCCTGCAGAACCCCAACACAGTCCAGGGGGCCTCCTGAGTCTGACTGCTGAGGGAAGAGAAGAGCAAGTCATGGTGAGTGGAGACAGGATGGAGGGAGACACACACAGGAAGCCAGAAGCACAAAGAGGCAAAGGCAGAGCAAGAGAGCAGGGCAGAAACACACAGTGCAGGAGCTGGAGGGCAGCAGTGAGAGCTGGAGGCAGGAGCAGGGTAGACAGAGTGAGCAGCCCCCAGAGACACATGCAGTGCAGCAGACAGAGGTGATGGGGAAACAAACTGAGACCCTTCGTAGGTCCCATGACAGAAAAAACCCAGAGACCTAAAGGCCAAAATATAGGGATCTGCTGTGAAAACACCGAGCACTCAATCCATAACTTGTAGGCAGGCAGAGACTGTCCTGCCTCTCAAATACCAACTCTCCCTCCCATCTCTTGGAAACATCCCCTGAGGTGCTCCACCCCCACCTGCATCTCCTTTTCTGGCCTCTAGGGATGAATTGAAGGGTGACGCTGGGTGTGGACTAGGGGCATGGGGAGCTGTAGGAGTGGAGGATGGAGCTGTGCTTGGCAGTGGGCCTGGGGATCCTGAATGCAGTCAACCTCTATGTTCTTACAGCTGTGTTCCTTCTCTCTAGACCCTCCCGGTGTCCCTCCCGGGTGTCTCTCCATCCCTCCTCTCAACATCATGACTCTGTGTCTCTCTGCCAACTGCTTGCTTCTCTTTGGCTCTCCTTGCCTGCTCTGTGGCTGCTTTACCCTGTGTCTCCTTGCTTCCTCTCACCATTCCAGTTTCTTCTCTCTGTTTCTCATTGCAGCTGCATCTCCCTGTGGCCCTCTGAGTCTGCTTTATTCGTGCATGATCTTGTGCCCTTTGTAAGTTTTACACCCAAACTGCATGCTAAACCCCTGCCTTCCTGTCCCAGTCTCTTACTCGGCAAGAGTCCTTGCGGCCCTCCCCACCAGCGCAGAACATACTGTTGTGGTAGCTTGAGTTAAGCTTGAATCTGCAATGCTGCTCTGAAACTACCGGACTAACTGCACACTGCCGATAAAAAGGGTAGTAGCCTGCAAGAAAGAACCAAGGATCAGAAACACTCCTGTGCAGACACACCACAGTTATCAGTGAGTCCAGAGATAGGAACAGCAAAACTCACCATCCAATAGCTGACCCCAGCCAGAGATCCGGCATCTGGTTCCACGTGTCGGACATCTGGATGTGATAGGGAGGTTCCCTATGGTGTCTGATATGGCAACTGGTTTCTTCAACTTGATAAGCATGAGGTCACTACCACTCTTAGGTCTGATGTATTGTGGGTGCTGAACAGAGAAACTGGCTTCCATAATCTGGCTGCCTGGTTCAAACCAATCGGAAAGTCCATGGAGGCCCAGCCCAGTAGTGTAGTATCTGAGGGTGAGGGGACCTTCAGTAGCATGAAAACTGCATCATCTCTGTGAACCCAACCTCAGATGCAAGACCAAATTCAATCCCAGCGTCAGGCACACTCATCCTCAACCTCAGTGCCATCCCCATTGCCATTCCCACCTCCATCCTGCCCAGACCCATCCCTGCTGCCAGCCTCATCCCCACTTGGACAGTGTCCATATCCCATTCCAATCACCACCGTGAAATAGCCTCCAAACCTGATAATAAGTTTGGGCAAGAGAAACATTGTCTCATGAGTTAATTGAGGGAGCCACTAATGTTGTGCTTCAGTAAAATATTTTTGAATTCAAAATTAATGCAAGAAGTCCATTGCACAAAATATCAGAAATTGAAGGGACGACAGCATTTGAGGTCACCTCGCCCTTGCCCCCCAAAACCGAGGATCCTGTTTGTTGAAAATGTGGATATTTTATTCATCACGGATGTTTGCATTGTTTTAGTTTGTTTAAAATACGACATTGAGATATTTTTCCCGAAGTGTGAGGTTTTGCCTCGTGTCTCCCTATACCATGTCCTGTAGCCATTTAAATACCTTGGTCCTCATCCACCTGGCTCTGTCCTCATCTGTCCCTCGCCTTGCCCCAGGCCTCTTACACCCGGGGAGAAGAGGTCCCTTGTGCACACCACATGGGTCATAGATCCTGAACCAAGATCCAAGCCCCCTCACTCAAGCCACCTTCTTCTCCGAACATTCATGCACGTGTCAATCCCAGGGTCCTGTGTGGTTTGTCTTCCCACATGGGGGATCCTTCAAACCTAGAGATGTTAATGCTCCTCCGGCCAGGGGAATTGGATCTCCCAGCCAGGACTAACCTTTGAGTATAAATCCAGCCTTACTCCAGGACTAGTGTTTTAAATTCTCATCTTGGCCAAGTCCAGCCTCTGGGGCTGGAGGTCACTCCCTGTCCCAGCCCCTCTGCAGCATTGGAACACCACCCTAAGCCAAGACTGATCCCTCTGTGCTCAAACCCAGCCTGGGCCCTGCCCCTCCCGGCAGTGCAATGTCTAACCCTAAGCGCTGCCTACAGTGCCCTGCCAAAGGGAAGCCACGGCCCACCTATTCCCGTCCAGTGTACTGCCCTCCCTGCAGTCACCCCTACTGCACTTGCTAACGGTATCCAGCAGTGTGCAGCTGACAGCACCCACTGTTTGTGCACCAGCACTCCAGAACAATAGTGGTCATAATTTTCAAACAGTGTGGCCATCCAGGGCTGGGAGTGTGGAATGCAGGAAAGCCATCAATGATGCCTTTGCTGACACGATGGAGCCCATCTGTGAGGTGACTGCTGATTTCTTTGGGAGGAATCTCTGCTTCTGCGGGCAGGATGAGCACAGAGAGGATCCACTGGGTGGGTGGATGGAATCCAGCAGTGGATCCACAAAGGCTCAGGTTGGTCAGGGTTAGTAAGGTTCAGGTTACACCAGGAGTGCCAAGGAGGGGCAATGTCTGAGGCTTTGCTGCTGGGGCTCAAGCAGGACAGTTCCAAGGACAGACCCCTCCTCTGGGCCTGAAGATTCACCCTTTGCTCCACCACCCCAGTTGCATATACCAAGTGTCCACACACACGCACCCTTCCGCAGGAGGAGGCTCTGTGCAAGGCAGAGGACAGAGGCTGCTGTGCCTGGGATTCTGTCTGCTGGACTCACAGATTGGATGCTGGGGCACAGAGAACAGTCCCTCAGGGAACACTTCTTATCCTGGACCCAGCCCTCTGCAGTGTCTCCTTCCCCAGGGGCTCAGGAGCAATGACCTCTACAGGGTAGGAAGCAGCTGCCACAATTCTCTGCCAGCTGGGACCGGAGGCTTATGCACAGTGCTGTACCAATGTGAATTACAAGTAACATCTGAACACTTGCCTATGGGCCAGAGTCCAGGGAGGACCTGCCTCTATAATGTGGTATCTAATATGCTTCCAGATTATCATTGGAGGTGGTGAAAGTAAGGCACAGAGACATTAGGGACTTTTCCCAGGTAAGAAGTAGCAGAGCAGGGTTCTGGACACACTGGCCCCGCCCACCTCTCCATAAGCTGTGTTTCCACTCTGGTGCCATGCAGACCCCCAGGGATCCTATGTGTGGTGCAGGATGACCCATTTTGGGTGCACTCAGGCTAGCACACACCCTGAACTCAGATACCTGCTGCTGTGTGGATGATGCAACCCAGGAAACAGAGCCAGACGGCTTCTGCTGTGGGCCCCATGTCAGCACCTGCAGATGAGGAGACCTGCTGAGTCTGGGGCCTCCCGTACCATTCGAGGAGCAGTTAGAAAAGACTCTGTCCAGCCTGGATTCTGAGAGAGTACCTGAGGACCAGTAGCATAGGGAATAGTTTCTCACCATCTGCCATCATGCTTTATATCCATGCTCTGCTAGGGATGGACCCAGGACACGCCCAGGCTCACAGAGCCACAGATCCTTTGCACTACCTGCTGATGACTGGTGGCTGGTGAGCTTTTAAGCTAAACCCTGCCCCGTGTAATGCAGGGTGTTTTACACTCCATGCCAGCTGCTGTCCCCTTCCCCGGTAGGGACATCCATAAGGCCCATTCTTCGTCCAGATCCTGGGAGAAGGTAGTGTGAGCTCTGACTGTGAGGACAGAGGAGGCCGGAAGACTGAGGAATGAGGGGCAGTTAGGGACGGAGACAGAGATGCTGAGACTGATGCTAAACCGTGGAGCAGGGAAGATATGGGCCCAGACAGAGATATGTCAGTTCACAAAGCTGAAGGAGACTGAGATGGAAATCAAGAAGCTCTCAGCACAGATTCAGGCGCAGCCCTGTGCCAGGCAGCACACTAGCAGGAGACACGCGGTGACTCACTGTCACAGCCATCTCCAGTGCCAGGTCCTGATATGATCCCCATTCCATGGAAGGTGCAGACACAGACAGGCTGAGTACAAGTGGAGAGGGCACTAGAGTCTGTGCTTTTAAAACCTCACTGGGACTGGGCACAGTGGCATCGCCTGTAATCCCAGTGCTCTGGAGGGAGGAGGATCTCAAAGCCCTCGCTGAACATTGAGTGAAAGCGATGCTCTAAGTCAGAGAGGGCGTCACACACCCAGTAGGACAGAGACAAGAAAGAGGCAGGAACCCAAAAGGTGGGAAGCGCAGAGCAAACCTTGTGCTGTGAGAACGCAGGGTTGTTCACCTGGGTTCAGCTCCTGGGGTTCACAGTTCTGCTGTCCTTTGTGGAGCTGTGCTGTGTGGGCTGTTGACTGTCAGAGCCTTCCTTGGTCTTATAAGGATTGGGATGGGGCTGGCCGGCCTTTGGGCTGGTGGAACATTAGAGGCTGAGGGCTGAAAGATTAGAGTCCTGAGCACAGAACCTGCCTGTCCTGCTTCTAATCAGATCAGGGCACAGGGAGCAGGGCTCCGGGCAGGGAGGTAGAAGACGAGTGTGGATTTTGGCTATGAAAGAAGTGACTGCTTCTGTCTGATCACTCATCCTCTCTGTCTCTCATTTCTGATTCCTGCTCTGAACTGTTCCTGCTACCCTTATCATCTTATCTCATGGATATTCCAGTTTGGATTCCTTCCTTTTGAAGCAGTGCATTAAATCTATATTAAATGAAGCAAATGTACATGAAATCAAGACAATCTGTGTCTCTGTGTGTTTGGACCTGGGATTGAATCCAGCATCTTCTCGCTGAACTCCATCCTAAAGCATTTTTTACAGTTTCATTTTGAGGCAGAGTCACATTACATCCTCAAGTTGTCCATGCTGTGCTCAAACTTGAGAGACTCTTGCTGCATTTTCCTACAGAGCTGGGCTTCCAGGCGTGCAGTGCCACAGGCAGTGTATTTTCCTGTCCTAGGCATGTACCAGGCCTGCTGTGGCACACACATCCCCAATTTCTACCATAGCACATCCCATATGGTTGAACAAACCAGGCAGGTTTATACCTGCCTCAGGCTGTGAACTAGCCCTTGCTTTTGCCTGATGTCTCCCTGGGTCATTTTCTTTTTCATCTAAAATCATCTACAATTATACACGGGTCCCAGAGGCAGCCACATCTCACATACTTGCCAGGCCCTTCCTCACATCCATTCAGCTGAACTCAGCCCCAGCTCATTGCAGAGTTCAAAGTGGATGAAGCTGTAAAGGATGTCACCTGGATTCTGATGGGTGAGGGCTCAGCACCTCAACAGTGGCCCAGCCTGACAGACCAATCACAAGCCCCTGTGCTTCTGAACTGCCAGCCATAAATCTGTTTGCACAAATGAAGCTGAAGCATCTGTAAGCCTGGGTAACAGAACTTTGGGGGACCGTGGCACTTTCTGGTATATTATTTAATGAAGAGCAGGTGAAATGGTATAGCTGAGAGTCTAGTGACAAGGTCAAGTGTACTGAGGGAGGGTTCCCACACAGAGTGCAGCTGCTGTGGCCACAGAGCTGATCTGGATCTTTTCTCCTCTGAGGACCATGAGTGTTTCAGAGGCCCCATCACCTTGGCTGAATGGCTCCTGACTCCATGTGCAGCCCTGTCCCCGCAAAAGGAGGGGCAGGGCCACTGTCCTCACCATGGCCCATTTTGCTGTACTCCCTGAGCGTCTCCCCACCATTCAAATATGCTCCTGCTGTGGCTCCGCTGTGTGGGGACTTGCTTTAGAGATAAAGGGTCAGCATGAGATGACTAGCACCAGCCCTACCTGCAAGCTATGAGGAGATAAGGGAACGTTTTCTTATTATTTCTTTGAATATCTTCTCTTTGTGTTGGGATGCCATGGTCTAGTATATGTGTAGTCGTGAACCTTAATTATCATACTCCACATACATTAGGCTTCTATCATCATATTTCCCTGCAGTTTTACCCTGGATCTCAGCAACATTCTCCTTTCTGCACTATTGCCGTTGCAGAGCTGTTTGCTCCACTCCATGGAACCTGCTGGTGTGGGTCCTTGCTGTGGTCATGAGGGAAATAGAACTTATACAACAGCATGAGTGTACAGGCGAGGGCTTAAGTTGTGAGTGAGAGAAGATGGTCAGTGTGTTAGCTTGAGGCACTGACAAACATCAAATGGATCCTCTGACAAGGAGTGCAGGAGGAGTCAGAGCACAAGCTTCCACTGCAGAAGGGTCAGTGGCTGCATGTCTGAAGATCTAGGTCATCCTGGCACATGGGGGTGCTATAGGCTGGGGTTCTGCTAATCCTAATCTCAATCATGGCTTCTTCATACGGGTTGAAGTGTTGTAACC